GCACTACGGTGTTCATGGGCCATAAATCATCGTCAAAAATTTTGGAACTTTGGTCTAGCGGCAAGCACAAGCGAAATGAAGTACTACCATCAATATTTTCATTGTTACTAACACTATCTTTTTCTTTTTTCTTAAAGGGATGTAATGATATGAGATCAATGCCAGCCTTTTCCAAATGTTTTGCAATAACTTCAGTCTTACAGAAAGTGAGATTGCCCACATAAAGAATGGATTTTTTGACTGGGGGATCATTAGCTGCAAACCCCAAATCAAGTTTTGATTTGCCTGAACATTTTCTGATATTACTTTTTACTGCTGTGGTGTACATATTGGTTAGTTTTCTTTTTTTGTTTTTATTAACAACAGTTTTAAAATCATTATCACTGTCATCTGACTGTGAGTTAATTTTTATATTATCATCATTTGTATTATTGTTTTTAGCAGGTTTCTTGTTGAAATTATCATCATTTATTAAGTTAGTATCAGAGCCCCATTCAGTGGTTATTGCTGAACTGGGTGGTTTAGAGGGCTGTGTAGAGTTAGACTTTGAAGTGTCAAATTTCACACTACTTGCATACCTATGGCTATTATTTGTAACCATATTATTATTATTTTTTAAAGAGCTAGACCATATTTTTTTGCATATATTATTATTGTCATCTATTATTTTTTCAATTTTAGAAAATTTATCAACTAAGCTTATAGAGTCAAATTGACAACTATCATTGGGCAGACGTTCAATTGCAATAACAGCAAACAACGGCAAATTATCTCTGATTTTTTCCGAAGAGGTCAGGTTGAACATTTCAATTATGTCATTTGCTTTTTCTGCTCTTGTGTTACCTTTGGAAGATAGTTTGACCTTTTCTTTCTTTAAAGTCTTAAGTTCATAAAGTAGAACTTTGTGAGCATCTTGAAATTCAGCTGCGGTATAAAAACTTATAACGGAACTCTTAAATTTATCATTATCATTAAATTTATCGCTATAACGGTTGAAAAACCATAAAAGTTCGCTAATAATAATTTTACGGCCGTCCGCCATTTGTTTACCATAGTCTACTGCTTCAAGACCCAGCAGTAAAACTTGCTCTATTTTGTGAAAAGAGCGGAGTTTGATAACTCTAAAACATTAGTTTTATTTCTAATCAAACTCAGAAACAGCCTCTTTATGAAAAGATGTCGCTTGATGTCAGTGATATTGATCTTAAGCTGATTGATAACGATTTAAACAAATACTCCGACTGAGCCACATGATGGATGTCGATTTGCATAAAGTACACAAAACCTAAAGAATGCTCCTTTTTCAAATCAGAATAAGACAGCCAGGAAAATTCTTGAAGCCAATAAAATTTAAAAAACCGTTTTCTTTTACCTTCCAACACAAATTGAAATTTATAATTCTCGTCAGGTTTCCGTGGGTTTTTCAAAAGATCATATCTTAAGTCATTCGAAATGATAGGGAGTTCTGTCGTTGCACATTGTCCAATATCTAAAGGTATTGTTTCCTTTGAAAAACTTTGACATAAATTACCAGTTTTGTTTGAAACATCAGTCAAGTCATCGTTTAAATTTAATGAAAAGCCTTTTTCCAAGACATCAGTTTCTATAATTGTAAAAAAAACGTTGAGATTAAATTTTTTAATTGTCCTACCAGACCTGAATAGTTAAATACTACAAAATTAATTAAGTCTAGTCGGATAATGACTGGTACGCATTAACCCTAACACAAAAAATGTTTTTATTATTCAGCTTATTGCTAATTTTTTTAGTTGAAAATACAAAATTATTTCATATGCAATTATTGAAATATCTAGGTATTACCATTAACGGCCTCAACTGTATTGAGATCATCGCACTGCCCGTTTTTTTGCCAGAGTCGGTTGAAAAAAGTTTAAAATACTACCTTTTTAAAAGACATTTTTTTAAATTTTAAAACGAATTCAAATGCAAACTGATTTTATGAAACATAAAATAATAATAGAAGGCGCGCCAAATCGTGAATGGAATAAAATGTGAACTGTGAACAAAACATAAAATTATGAAAAGTCTAAATAAGTAAAGACTATAATATTTTTTGATTTACTTTTTGTTGATATTAGTTTACAATAAAAGAAATACTAAAAAAACATGATTTATTTTTATTTTGTGCCGCAAAACACTATTTAAGCTTAAAATATGAATTATATTCTGAAATAAACTTGTATCAAATTTATATATTAAATCAGCCTTATTTTTTATTGTTAAAAAGAGTCGATCTCAAATTTTTTTTTATTATTTAACGCTGTCATGAATTAAGTTGATAATGGCCATGGCTCCCCCGGCCCCCCTCCCTAATTCCGCCACTGCACGTTTAATAATTATTTTATCAATTCCGGAGTTGTACCGGCTGTAGAAATCAACAATTGTAATTTTCTTAGCTTTATGCCACCTTCCACATGTTCGTCCATTTTTTTCTGTGAAACCAATAAGCTTGAAGTGTTAAAATTTGTTTCTAAATTAAAAAATTCACATTCGTCTAGCCATGATGGTATTTCTAACTACATCATTTAAACCATAATTAATTCAGCTGTAAAGCCACTAACTTATTGCATTAATTTATCTTTTATCACAGGAATTGTGCCTAACTGTCTTAAAATTACAAAGGTTATTCCAATTCACAAAAAAGGCTCCTCAGATTTGGTATCCAACTATCGTCTTATATCATTAATGTCGTCTTTGTTGAAAATCATGGAGAAAATTGTATGTGGTAGTATCACGTCGTTTCTATATAAATTTCAAATTTTGTCTCTTTGCCAGTTCGGTTTCATAATGGAGAGTTCAACCGAACTTGCTATTTTGGACTTAACACTTTATGTTTGTAGTAACATCGATTTAAAAAGACACACCATTGGTACATTTATTGATATAAAAAAGCATTTGACACCGTCTATCATGAGTTGTTTACGAAAATGTCGTATTATGGAATTAAAGGACCTTTGTTAAAATGGTGTCAAAGTTACCTTGCAAATCGATCTCAATATGTTGTTATAGATAAACATCATTTTTTCTTGTTGCCTATTGTTTCTGGAGTGCCTCAGGGTTCTGTACTTGGCCCTGTTTTATTTAATATATTCATCAATGATCTATGCAGATCGACTAAGGCTGTTAAATATATTATGTATGCGGATGAGATTCCATAGGTGAAGTTGAATATATTCTCAACTCAGAGCCCGCAAGAGTTCACTTGTAGATGATAAATAATAAACTGCAAATTAGTTTATCAAAAACTTTTGCGATTCTTTTTGGTTCTAAAATTGTCACCAATTTACTAACATTCTCTATTTTCTACAATAACAATTTAGTAGGTCGATTGGACAAATTAGTCTTTCTAGGTGTTACAATCTCAAGCAATCTAAGTTGGAAAGAGTACACAATTAGCATATCAAACAAGGTATCTAAAGATCTAGGAATAATCTATAGACTAAAGTATCTCTTACCGAAATGTGTAATACTTAATTTATATTATTCTCTTATTTATCCTTATTTCATTTATTGTATTGTAGTTTGGGGTCGCTACATTAAAGGTTTCTCTCTCTCTTTTGCGTTTGCTTCAGAGATTTCAACGACAAACACACACAGCGTGTATGAATGCGCGTGCAAACCACGCATCATACACATTGCATATGATAGGCGGGAATCTCTTTGTATTCGAACCCAGTCATAGCAATAGCAAGACCAGGTGTCTTTAACCATTGAGCCATCACGCCGCTGGCCTAATATTAAGTCTCATATTATTATCTTAGATAAATGTTTATACTTTTTTATTCGTATTTATTATGACCTGAAAAAATGTGATCATATTTCAGATTATTTGTCATTGTCTAATTTGTTTTCTATTCCTAAACTAGACGTTCTCAGATTATTATTATTCTTGTTTAATGTTATAATTAAGAAGAAATTTGTTATGTTTAATTCATATTTAATTAAATCTTCTGAATATTGCAAAAGAACAACTCGGCACACTCCATTACTGTTTTATCGTACTGTTTTATTTTCATCTTCAGTTTTTGTTTTTGGTTTAAAACTGTGGTCAAAACTACCATATTTAGTTTTACACGTATCTTACTATGGGTTATTTAAAAAATTGATTTTTGACTTAATTAAGAACAACATTTTTTTACAGGAGATAATTTAATTATTTCAATTATTTAAGTTATTTTATAAGGAAAAACCATTGAATTATATATAGGAATGGCTTTATAGTATTGATCTTCTTCTCAAGGTCAGGAAATTGGAAGCAAACTTTTTTAGCACCAAATTGTCAATGGGTTTTTCAGTTTTCCAATCTATATTTAGCTTCTTTCCTGTTAATCTTTGTGCTACCGGCGGCAAATTTTTGTAAACATTTTTTACTGCTAAATCTTTCTATGTCAGTTTTAATCTATTTTTAACTTAATAATTTAACTGAGTTTTGATCCATTTTGATTTTATAAATGACATTTGCTTAAAAGTTTTAAAAACGTTACATTGTGCCAAGAGACACTAGGCCCAGACTAGTAGTAGTAGGAGAAAAGAGGCTTTTTTGTATTTGTATTTTGAATTTTTGACTTTATTTTTTTAACTATCGTTAATTAATGTTCAAATAAACTCAAAAATTTCAATGTCGGTGTGTTCGTTCGTGTATTTAAAAAAAATCGACGTTTATACTGGCATCAAAATTTTCTTGCTTTATCAAGAACAAATAAAATAATGGGTTTTAATTAGAACTAGATAACAAGCCAAATAAATCTTTTTACCATATTGATGTTACTTTAAATTTCAATATAATCAATATATTCTTTCAATTATTTATAATAAATATTACTATTGAATCAAATAATTGTGATAAATTTTTTGGATATGCTGCCTGAAAATATCTGGTCTTTGGAATGAATTGGGCAGACTATAAGCCAAGTTTTTGAATATAATT